TGGGGTCCTCAATAATTCTTTTAAGAGTGTAAAGGGTTGCTTAGGTCAAGAGTTTTGAGAACCACAGTTTTAGCTGATGGTTGAATAGGTTGCACATATTTAAACTACATCACCATTCCTGCCTCCCCAAGCTTTAGACTCCTTCCTTTACAGTGTGTAAAGGATGGTCTTGCATCTCAGCTGTGTTGATTGTGGACTTCTGTTGCTATTATTTCCTGGTTTATCCATCTTTATTCAACTTCCTTAGTCTGCCTTCCTGGCAAACTTCCCAGACCTTGCAGTGAAATTTCGCACAGTCCCACTGCGCCTCAGGTGTGTGCACGTGCCCTCCCAGGGCAGCCCTTGTGCTTTCCACCTGGGTCCTGCTTGGATAGAACTGTCTGTGGACCAGAAGCAGAGAGAGATGTGGTGTGGTCTTTATCATTATCACTATCATTATCCTCATGGGCTGCAAATAATTCTTGAGCATCTCTTGCATGCTGACTATTCTGTGGGTTATTCCCTTCTGCCGAATTCTCATTTTATCACAAATGCATGAATGAAACTCACAAAGCCAAGGGACTTTACTGGTTAATTGGACCAATTATATTCGTGATGAATGATCTCTCCCTACTTCAGCCCAGAAAGATAAGTGAGCATTATAATTGGTCACTTGGCACCAGAGTAGCTCATGGAGATCTTTGCTTTTAGCAGCATATCCCAGCGGGATGCTCAGGTTTATATTTTCTCCCAGTTTTGTTGCCTTTGGAAATAGGATTTTTGTGGCATGAATAGAAGGCACTTTTTATTCTAAGTTAATGTGAGAAAATCTGGAATTGAGTTGAAATTCAAATGAAGTAACTATCTATGTTCATGTGGTAAGTACTATGTTAATAATTAACCAGGTTTAAAAGGTCAATAGATTACCATATGGACAAAACCAAAACACTTCTTAATATAACCCAACCATAACATAATTCTACTTCATGAAATACAATAAGGTTTTCTCTCCTGTGATTATATTTGGTGGAGAAAGCTGAAATGTCTCCAAATGTCTTTTGTTCGATTCTTATTCTCCTTTTCAGTGAAACAGACAATTAGATGTGCACTTAATAGATGTTTTCAGTCTCACAAACCCTCTGTAGTTACGTGTAGCTCTCTGCGTGGCCCACTGTTTCCCCTCCTGTTATCTTGCTGCAAACTTATTCGTCTTTAGAGTTGGTCAGAGATGGAAATACTGGTATGGGTCAATATTTTCATGACTCTGAAATATTTCTTTTTCTATGTTAAGAAATGAGTGAGATAGGAGCTCTTTAAGAGGAGTACAATTTTATCTCCATTAATCTATATCGATTTATCTCTATGTCTCTATCTCTATATATTTATCTATCCATATCTATTTCAATATATAATATATCTCTGTAGTTATATTTCTATCTATATAGGTCACTTTTTTAACACCTAAGATTTGCATATAAAATATAGATATAGATAAATAGGTAGATTTTATATATAGCTATGTCCTTGGGGTCATACTGTACTATTATAATTAATATATAACTCAATTAAGTATGTGATTAAAGTATTGAACAGAATGACTCAGGTGGCAAGTGCTTCAAGCCTGGAGAGGACTGAGAGATCACTAAGAGATCAGCTCCTTTTGGATGACCGCTCCTAGAAGCATCTACCTCTTAAAAAGTTCTCCCGATGAAGGGAGATGTTTGAGAGATGAAGAGGAGAGATCTTTTGTAGGGAGAAGGTCTCTGGGTGTCTCTTGAATCTAACAAGGCATGCAGACAGTCTATGAATGAATGGCAAGTAAAGGTAGCTCAAAAAAACTCTTTTTGGTGTCTACATATATAAGACTACTATTCAATATATTATATTATTCATTACATTTTAATCATTCTCTTTAAAAGGATCCTTGGGAGAAATGATTCCAAAGTTGGTATCAAGAACAGCAACCTTTTGGTTGATCTGCTTGTCTTTTGAATGCTACTAATTGTGTATATGGGCTACTAGAAAGTTTCGAATCAGATATGTGGCTTGCACAGAGCAGTGGGTAGGACCAGACGGTGTGCAGTAAGTTTTATCCTTGCCTCCACGCTATGTCTGGAGCTTGTTTTTCTTTTTCCATTTTTAAAATTTACCCTGTTTATCTGTGCCCTGTGTCTTGCATTAAGACATCTTCAACTCTTTTTCACTTGTAAAAGCATTGATAGAGATACAGTACAGGTAAACATTCACATGTATGTCTATTTCATATTTTAATACCTGTAGAGGAAAATGAGAGAGATTAGGGAAGAAATGTCTTCTGCAGTTTACATTCCCAATTGTAATTCTGCAAGTGAGCTCAGCATTTTCCCAGCTTGCATAAAAGCCATGCATTAAAGAAGTGGGGGGGAGGTTTCTGCACGAGACCACATGAAACTAGGGAGACGTAGCATCCATACAATTGGAAATCCTTGGAAGATAAAGTACATAGAAGTGAATGACAGGTTACAGAGGTGAAGACATCATGAAGTTACAGACAATGCAATATATAGTTTTAACTTCTAGTTTTCAAAGTGCATAATCACATTTATGATCTCATAAAAGTCTCACTGAACTAAGCAAGGTAGGTGAGAAGATAACGTTTTAGAGGTTATACTTTTATTTAAAATTGACAGCAGCTGACTCAGATCAGAACCCGGGTCTGTTGATTCTTGATCTTAAGCTGCTTCTGGGAATGTGTTTCATTAAAAAAAGATCTTAGCCCCTGACAGCCTTGAAAGTCTAAGGTTTTGAAACATTACTTCTTCCAATCCTCTTTGGCTCATTATGAATCATTTCTACTTTGATAATAAGTGTAGCATTGGTATTTATTTTAAAGCTAAAAGTTATAGATTCCATCCATTAAAAAGATAAGTTCCAAGAGAGAAATTCTTTATTTTTCTAGCTTAATTTTAAGTCTATCACTTAAAAAGAATATTTTTTTTCTCCTCAAGCATAAGAGCTTTTGAAAGCCTTGGATCTAATAGCAAAAATATTATATTCAGAACCCTGACAACCATAATTTACTCCTTTTTTGATTGTGCTGGGTAGCCGGACGGTCCCTGTGGGTTGTAACATAGACAGGGAGAGATGGTGCTTCCTCCATTGCAGGCACCAGTCCAGTCTCCTGCTTCTAATTTTGAAGGAAAGAAGATGGTTAGAGACTGAATTCCATACATCCTGTATTAACAAACTGCCATCAACTTGGTGACTTAAAGCAACAAAAATTTATTCCCTCACAGTTCTGGAAGTCAGAACTCAGTATCACTGGGCTAAAACCAAGGTGTTGGCAGGATCCCACTCTACCCAGAGGCTCTACAGGAGAATCCTTTTCTTGCCTCTCAAGCTTTCTGTGGGGGCTGGCGTTCCTCGTGGTTGTGTCACCTAGTCTCTGCGTCTGTGGTCACACTGCTTCCTTCTCTGGCGCCTGAAGTCAGAACTCCCTCTCCCTTCTTCTTACAGGGATATTTACAGTTGTATTTAGGGCTCATGCTGATAATCTTCCTATCTCAAAACTCTTATTTTTTAACTTAATAACTCTTTCTCCATTAAGTAACAGCCCCAGGTTCCAGGAATTAGGAAAATACCAACTTGAAAAGATACTTGCACCCTAGTGTTCACAGCAGTACTGTTTAGCCATGATATGGAAACACCCCAAGTGCCCATCAACAGATGAATTGATAAAGATGTGTACACATGCTCGCGTGCACGCCCACACATACACACACACAATGGAATACTACTCAACCATAAAAAGAATGAAATTCTACCATTTGTGGCAATGTAGATGGACCTAGAGGATATTATACTTAGTGAACTAAGTCAGACAGAGAGATACAAATACTGTATGAGATCACTTATATGTGGAATTAAAAAAATAATACAAGTGAATATATATGCAAAACAGAAATAGACTCGCAAGTGTAGGAAACAATCTAGTGGTTACCAACAGGGAAAAGGAAGGGGGAGGGGCAAATTAGAGATTTGAGACTAAGGCATAAACTACTATGTATAAAATAGAGTATCAACAAGGATATATTATACAGCACAGAGAATTATAGCAAGTGTCTTGTAATAACTTTTAATAAAGTATAAACTGTAAAAGTACTGAATCACTATGCTGTACATCTTAATATAACATTGTAAATCAATTGCACTTTGATTTAAAAAAAGAACTTGAATATCTTTATGGATCATATGCAACTTACCATATTCCCCTAAAATCAGTCAGTTTGGCCGGTTTGTTTTATTTTATTTTATTTATTTTATTTTAAACTTTTGATTCTATTGACAATTCAACCACATTTTGAACACAATTATCCATGGATTAATATTTTTGCTTCCTTTCAGCATACATTTGAGTGTCATACTGGTGGCTATGGTCTCAAATTCCTATAATCTAAGAAAATCTATTATCAAGTTACACATTCTTTTGACTTTATGTATAGATGTCTTCTTGACTTTGTGGAGAAAATATTGAATAAAATATAAGTGTTGCCTTCAAGGAAATTATAGTAAATGTACTTCCAAGGATATTCCAGAATATGGTTAGAATAATAAAAGTATGCTTCTCCGTGTAATTCTCTAGTAAAGACAAAAGATTCAAGGATGTGAAGAGAAAACAAAGTCCCTTTTTCGTATCTTCCACGTGGTCCCCGATCACCCTAAGTGCAAACAGAAGAAAAGATGAACAAGTCACCATCTCTCAAAAGGAAGACAATTAGATTAAAAATACGTGCTTGACACATACTATGTTCTGTGCATAATGACTATATCTTTCAGGACAGCAAAGAATAATCCCCAGTTATCCAACAAAAATGATACGCAGCTCAGTATAAACATGTGCTATAATGAACAATGTGTCTGCATCAGTTGAGTTCTTCAATGACCTAAAATGGCAAATGATGGGGAGCTGATATACCTGTATCTTAAATCATGACATGCTGACTAATCTTTCCACAGAAAGGAACCAAAGAGACCCAAAATCGATGGATGGGAGAAATTCCACCACAGTGAAGGAGTTCATACTTTTAGGGTTCACGACAGATCCATGGTTACAGAGAGCTCTCTTTTGCATCTTCCTCATCACTTATATCTTCAGTCTCTTGGGGAACATCACCCTGATTTCTCTGATCTGTGCTGATTCTCAGCTCCATACGCCCATGTATTTCTTCATTGGAAAGCCTTTCGTTCCTGGATCTCTGGTATGCTTCTGTCTATGCCCTCAAAATCCTGATAACCTGCATTTCTGATGACAAAAGCATCTCCTTTGCTGGCTGTGCAGCTCAGTTCTTCTTCTCAGCTGGACTGGCCTACAGTGAGTGTTATCTGTTGGCCGCCATGGCTTATGACTGCTATGTGGCCATCTCCAACCCCTTGCTTTATTCCCAGGTGATGTCCCCACGGTTATGTGCCAGTCTCGTTGCAGCTTCATACTTTGGTGGCTTTCTGAACTCAGCCATCATCACCAGTGAAACATTTACCCTGAGTTTCTGTGGGGACAACCTCATTGATGATTTCTTCTGTGATCTGCCTCCGCTTGTCAAGTTGGCTTGTGATGTGGAGGAGAGTTACCAGGCGGTGCTCTATTTTATACTTGCCTCCAATGTCATCACTCCCTCTGTGCTCATCCTGGCCTCCTATCTCTTCATCATTGCTGCCATCCTGAAGATCCGCTCCACGCAAGGCCGCCTCAAGGCCTTCTCCACCTGTGGCTCTCACCTGATAGCTGTCACCTTGTACTACGGTTCCATTCTCTTCATTTACTCCCGGCCAAGTACTAGCTATGCCCTGGAAAGGGATAAAGTGGTGTCGGTGTTCTACACGGTGGTGATTCCCATGTTGAATCCCTTGATCTATAGCTTAAGAAATAAAGATGTTAAAGGTGCCCTGAGGAAAATGTTAGATAGAGCCACGTTTCTCAGACAGAGGCTTTGGTAAACAAAGGCTGTATTATTATTATTATTATTATTATTA